ACTTATCGATATATCGATGATGTTCTATCACTGAATAATCCCAAATTTAGTGATTATGTAGAATTCATATATCCTGATGAGCTTGAATTTAAAAACACTACTGACAGTGACAATTACGCTTCCTACTTGGAGTGTTTAATTGTACGATAAACGTGATGACTTTGACTTTCCGATTGTTAACTTCCCATTTATTAGTAGTAACATTCCAATATCACCAGCTTATGGAGTGTTTGTGTCTCGGCTAATTCGTTACGCGAGAGCTTGTTCGTTTTAGTCTGATTTTTTAAGTAGATCGAGACATTTGTCATCTAAGCTTCAACTACAAGGATACTTGCACACTTAACTTATAAAAACCTTTAAAAATTGTATGGCCGTCATATTGGCTTGATTGGTAAATATAACATGTCTCTCTCGGCTAGTATTCTAGATATATTTAATTGAAGGGTATACTATCTACCTGATAATATCTACTACACCGTTAGGGATCCACGATGGCTAGGAGAAAGTTCATCCAGATTTTCCGACGTGGTTTCCCCTTGTCAGTGGTGCAGAACGGAGGGCCTGACAAGGACAGCTGTCTAGTCCTTCGGATAAGACGAAAAACCGAGGTCCCGTATATATATATATATATATATATATATATATATATATATATATATATATATATATATTTGCACTGCTGGTTTTATTAGAGGTAACCAGTGTATTTTTTTTTTTTTTTTTTTTTTTTTTGACGGATAGATAATTTTTACAGTGAGAGATATATAAGCAATTTACAATAGTAGCAATATACATATAATATTTATTAATATTAATATAAAGTAAACATATTTATACATACACAATACAGTTACATTGGCTTAGTTATCAACATTGGCCTGTTTATAATTTACTATGGTCGATGATGTTAAGTATTCCCATTTTTTGCAAGATTCATTATTTAAGTTAAGTTCTAAATTCGCTCTTGATAAAAGAAACGATAAATAACTTTCTTTCAATGGAAGTTTTTCTGATAATTTTGATTTTAATATATAGTATTTAGTTAATATGATTGCATGATTTAAGAATAGTATTTGGTTGGGATAATTAATTTTAGGTAGGTGGTCATGCAATTCGTATAAGCCAAGATGTATTACAGAGGGACAAAGATTACTATAAATGTTATTTATACTCAGGATATTGTGAAGTATTTTCCATAACATTTGTGAGTAAGAGCAGTAAATAAATAGATGATTAACGGTTTCGATGCTTGATTGACAAAAGTCTCATAATGTTGTAGACACTTTACCAAATTTGTATAATTTAGAATGTGTGTATATTATCCTGTGAATGTATTTGTATTGAAAAATTCTAGTTTTTGTGTCTATACATGACAAATTTATCAGTTTGAATATTGATTTGGTTGTAATGTCGTCAATTGTACATCCAAGTTCGTCTTCCCATTTGTATATCGAGTTTGGTTTAATGAAGTCAGAGTTTATTCGTTTGTAATATACATCTCTTGGTTTTAAATCTTCATGGTTCATCTTATAGAATTGTTTCAAATTTTTCATAATGTCGTTTTGTATTATTGTTTTGTAGTCTTTTTTGTTACAGTTATGGATTCCATTATCGTCTAAAAGGGTGTTTTTATTTATTTTTAAGCATTTTGTTTTTTCTATGCGTTCGAAATACATTTCCTATAACCATACACAGTCAGGAGTTCATTTGGTGTATATGTTTCTAACGGAGAATTTATTATGTCAGCTACAAATAGTGTATTATACTTTTGTATTAGGGTTTTATTATAGTTATCTTTTGTTTCTAAAATTTTGTTCATGTACATTACTTGGTTTTGTAGTTGTATATGTTGATCTATATTACTGTTATATATTTTAAACCAATTGGAGAGTAGTTGTGTATAAAACGGTGAGAATATCGTAATCTGTTTTTGATCATAGTTACCGGATAATAATAATAGAGGGTCATAAGGAGATATAACGAAAGAGAAAATATCGTACCAAAGCTGCTGTTTTTGGCTAAATATTTTTTTTTATCCAGACAAAGGATTTACTGTTATATGTTCCTTTAAATTCACCATTTTTAAGCCACCTCCCGCTTGATTTTGTCCTTACCCTCCAAAAGAATTGATAAAATATCGTATTTAATTCATCTGACAATCTGTAATTGATGTGATAGTGTGGACAGGCAAAAAATTTTATAATAATAATTTTACCACTTAATGAGAGGTTTTCTAGTTTATTGTCAAAGTTAAGTTTGTTTCGGAGGTTTGTGTTAAATGAGAAAAAAATTCCTAATATTTTTATGGCTGTAGAATTTACTGTCAAATTGAAATGTATTACAAGCTGGTTTAATTTTTTGCTGCTTGAGTTTAGATTGTAGGCTTCAGTTCTAGAGTAGTTGACAGAAAAACCAGAAATCAGCTTGAATTGATTTAAAACTTCTAGAAGGTGACGTCCCGACTTAAATTCCTTTGAAAACAGGTAAGATCATCGGCGAAAGCAACAATTTTAACACTGTTTTGTCCAAAACTTATATTCCCGTCGTTTCTTATACATTCGCATAACGTCTCGATAATTAAATTAAATAGATTTGCAGACATCGGATCTCCTTGTCTTACACCGCTTAAAATCGGAAAATATTTGGTAGTCTAACCATTGTTTATTACAGCACATTCTATGTTTGTGTACAGAGTCTTAATCCAATGTATAAATTTTCTTTTAAAGCCAAAATGGCGTAATACTTTAAACATATATGAATGGGAAATTGAATCGAGGGCTTTATTGAAATCCACTGCCAACAGAAAGCCTGTAATACGCCTTTGTTGAGCTAGGGAAAAGCAGTCGTCTAGAATTCTAATATTTTCATAAATATTGTGTCTTCCAGGCACAAATGCCGTTTGATTGGGATGAATTAGTTTTTCTAAAAAAAGGTCTCAATCCAGTAATTTGTTAAGGTAATGGGCCTCCAGTTATTTAACTCGTATTTGCATTTATTGGGTTTAGGCAGAAGTTTGATGATAGATTGCCGTTGGATAACTGAAAAGGAGCTGTTTTCAAATCCTTCGTTCAGGGAGTCCAGAACAAGATGTTTGATTACTGGCCAAAAACAGGAGTAGAACTCTGGAGTCAAACCGTCGTTTCCAGGCGAAGTTCCATTTTTAAACGAGTTAATCGCCTTTTGACACTCTTGGTCATCTAGCTTGTGCTCGAGACAGTCTGCTTCATAATCCCCAAGTTGTGGCAGAGAGAGATTAGTTTTATCAATAAATTTTTCGATGCCGCATAGTTTTGTTACCTTTTGTGAATATAAATTTTTGTAATATATTTCTATTTCGCCCATTATTTGATTAATATTTTGAATAAATTTATCGTTCATTTTCAATCTGTTTATTGTCGTGGAGAACTGCGTGTTTTGTCACCTTCAGTATAGTACTGTAATCCTGACCTAAGTATTGCCTGTTCTGCTTCATGGTTGTAAATTGAATTTAATTTGTGTTTGACATCATTGTACTCTGTCTTATACTCTTCGTTTTCTAGTAATTTTGTATCAAGGTTTTCAAATTGTTGTATAATATCTGCCTTTAAAGTTCGTCGAACCTTTTGTTTTTGTTTTGTATATTTAATCGTGGATAGTTTGATTTTAACTTTACACAGTCCCATAGTCCACGCTTATCGGGGGGATTAAAATATTCTCGTTTCCATACTTTTAGTTCAGCAGAAAATAATGCCTGATAGATTTTATCTGTTATAAGGGTAGAAATGAACCTCCAAAGGTTTGGGCCCCTTTTCTGTTTGCAAAATTTAGACATATCTGTATTGCAGAATGATCACTACAGGTACATGGAATGATTGTTGAAGACATTATATTATTTATCGTGTATATACTGGAATGCACGTAAAAGATCCCTTGGCAGTTGGAATTCGATATAAGAGTAGGCGATAGTGCCGCTGCCCGGGCAAAAATCCCCTCATAGCACACTGTATGGCGTATGCCCGTCTTCATTAGCCCAGTATAGGAGCAGGACAGTAAGACGTTAAACTCCATTTCATTTCATTTCTACTACACCGTTAACACTGTTCATCACGTGCATTTTGCATACCGATAGTCCATTGGCCAATCACGCTGTTTTACCGAGATTTCGCCTAATATTTTTGATGTAGCCATTGTGGGTGTGGCCCCAGGCAGGGTAAGCTTACTCTTCCGGACACCTGTTACCACTGTTTATCGTGTATTTTGTACACGATAAACAGTCCATTTGCTGATTACACTATTTTCCCTATACCGTTTTTATTTTGGATTCGAATTTTGTCTAATTGTTCGTACTTGGTTTTATTTCTTTTTCATGTCAAATCGTCCAAGTGTCAAGGTGGCTTGCCTACGCTGACGAAGGCAGAGTCATGTCTATGCCGCTGTCATCTACAATCTGGCAGAGTCATGTCTATGCCGCTGTCATCTACAATCTGGCTGAATTTTGAAGTCGTAACGGTCGTGCTGAATGTGTGACGAGGATATTAGATAGTGCCCTCTCCAAACAGCAAATGAGTCATTATTTGTGTAATTGTATACACAATCCTATCTGTACCCGTTTACAGCTGGAAAGATTTTAATACAGATAGATTTGGTGTATTATTCTAAGATAAAGTGCTCTGTTTGAGTCACTGCAAGTGTTAGGTTACAAATCCTACACCCCAACCATTGCACCAAATGGTTCCCTCATGAGTCACTTTCCTTATTACTGGATACAAAGGCTATTGCACTAAAGACTGGGACCATATTCAGGACCCTTTGCATGGGCCCGAACACTGGACACAAGGGCCCTGTCTCACTACTGTCCCCATCAAATTGTCTACCCCGGATTCGGCGTTTTTAAACAATGTTGGCAGTGTTATATAATTGTCACAACCACGCTCACACTACCCGCTGATTCCAGCATGAACTCCTATATCATGTACACACGTTTTAAGACTCAATCAATGAGACGTTAAACGGACATTCAATAATGACATAACAGTAATTTATTAAAGAACCATAAAGTATTTCAAGACAAATTAACTATCGATAAGAGAAAAGTACAAATTACAGATTTAATCATGAAATTGTGGATATTATTGGTAATATTTAAATTCTCATTTTAACTTTCTTTTATAAAGTTATTCCGTTATTTTCACATTGGTTTGTTTCATAACATTTCTAATGCGACTAGATCGGACAAGCAGCACGGCAGCGACCAAACCTCCACACAGTACCAATACCAAGATGGAACCAGTTATAACAGTGAAGTGTTTGGAAATGGTACCTTCAGAGTCTACAGAGATGTTGTTCGTATCTGTAATGGAGAATATTGACATGTACATTACTTCTACTGTATAGAGATGATTAAATCGGTGAGAGTTAAAAGTACTTCAGATAAAGATGTTTAAAATGTAAGAAAGTTATCTGCATTATCAACATATTAAAAATGTATAAGAAAGTTCTGTTTACATTATCACGCATTTACTTAACCGCTCTTTCAAAGATTCTTGTATATGATCCCGAATTATGTTGAAATATCTTTATGTTTACATATATTTTAATTAAATGAAAACCAAATTTGCATCACTTCAATCGGACCACAAATTTAATTTTATCTAAGTTGCTGAACAAATGCCCATTTTTATTTAAACCTTTCAGGATATCGTATTTGACCAATCTGGTGGGAAAACCATAGTTCCTTTAAGAACTGTCCCTGATCGGACTATGTCCGCTGCAATATGAAAATACCGCTCATCCCCACCTCTGGTCTAAGGCTATTTTTGAATCCTTATCGACTATTTGTCACCCTGATTCTTCTTTGCCTGAAAAAAATGAACCATTTCTTGCCACAGCTGACACATTAAATTTATAATAATTCAACACTATTTTCAAGCAGAATTTTGCGATAAAAAACATACACAAAATACGTTTGAACTCATCAGACATTACGAGACTCGAACATACGCAGACCACATGTTTATTTAATCGCTAAATTTTGCCAGTCAGTACGTCAGCTATTTGCTCAACCCGAGCTATATGATAAAGTGCTAACATTTTTAAAAGAGACAAACTTTTATTCTCAATTTTAATTGTATATATTTAATCATGTATATTGTTTTAAATATTTATATATGTAAAAGATTTGTTATATTTATTTTTAATTAATATATTTTCTGTGATGTTTGTTTTTATTTACATATATAAATTCAATGTGATATCGTTTTAATTTGTCTCGTTAGATTCACCATATGTTTGGCGCAATATAGCCCGGTTGGAGCTGACGTGCCATTAAACAACATTTCATTTCATTTCATCGCTAAATTCTACTTGAACATAGTGTTGAATGATTATATATTTGTGTCAGATATGAAGAGAAATGATTCCTTTTGCGAAAAATAAACATTCACGGTGAAAAATAGAAGGTAAGAGTTCCAAAATATCCCGAGAACAGAGGTGGGGAAGAGTGGTATTTTACCGTATTTTCACATTGCAGCTATATAACAAGCCATAGGAACTGTCAGCGGACTGTTCGATCATAGACAGTTCCTAAAGGAACTAGGAAAACCATAACCTACCGGTTTGTTTGTCCTGTGTTTTTGGTATCAACAATAAATAAGCTGATGCTTGACCATTCTTTCTATTCTCATTTGTTGATCGTTTTGTTCTAGCTCTGGTCCCGAGTATTGATCGAGTTCGCAGATCACTACATCTCTATAATATACAATTCATAATACTGAAATAAGAAGGCTTTTTTTTAAATAAAAAACATAACTTAATAGATGGTCTTAAAGGCATTTAAACATAATACTAACAAGAGGATAATCGAATAAATGGTCCGTAGGCCATTAATGTACGATAAATTTGGTATATCTATATATGGAAAGTAGATTCTCCTTCAATCAAGTTACGTAAATGTTGTTGTTTATTACAAATTAAACGTCTAATATAAATTGTAATATGATATTGTGGACAGGTTGATGTAATTAAGTTATTTACATATGAAGGCGTAATATAAAACAAAATAGGTAAATCAAATTCCTGTATATCAAAAGGTCGCTTTAAAATACGGTGTTAAAATCGCTGTCGTGAGAAGAGAGGGGTTCCGTGAAAAACAAGGCTGCTTTAAATAGATTCTTGTGCCATGGGTCTGTTTACTTACAATTAAATCTTTTGAGAGGGATTTAAACCAAAATACGTCCAAATATGTCATCAAAACCGCATAAGAAAAAGTGTTACGCATATACCAGCCATGTTAAGCAGATTCCAATCAAAATACTTACATCAGCACACTTTGTTTCTTTTGAATCAAAACAGAATTCAAAACTACAACTGAAGATGAGACCTAAACTTCCTTTAATTGTGAAAGCATCAAATATATTTGATGTTATGAAAGAGCCATTACTTCCGGTTAAAGCAAATACAGGGGAATCCCGTACAGGACATCTGAAATAAAATTTAAATACAATTGTACTTCTGAATCTACAAATGGCGTATCCTTTTTCAAGTGGACACAATTCTGGAAACGAGTTCACATGGTAAAGTTTAATGATTTCATCACCTCTTCCACATGGCTCGTTAGGAAGGTTCGAAGCAGGAACATAATGTTTTTCCTAATAACATAATTACAAGTGAACTCGGCTAACCCCGACTGTAGTTATCTGGGCTAATTTCGACTGTGGTTAATTCGGTTAACTTCGACTGAATAGTTAACTCGGCTAACTTTAACTAGTTAACTCGTTTAGATGGTTTCTTAACTCGTCTTCAAATGACATTTTACGACAAAAGTTTACGTCAGGTTTCATGTAGCAATTTAAATTCATTATTTAGAACAATTTTACATGTATGTGTAAAAACATTAGTGAAATTAGTCAAAGTTACTATAATCTAAATAATGAATAACAATTAATTTCTTACACAAATATTACAAAACATCATTACGGGGATTGTCGAGAACTCCCGATTGTGCTTTTTTTTTCTTAAAGAACCCTCAAAGGGGACGATCAACGATTTGCAACAAGGCTTCCATAACTCTTAAATATATTTAGAAATAATCATCCCTCTAAAACGATCAAAACAGTTTTTGTAAGCCAGTAATTAATTTCTTTATCAAAACCGGAAGTGATGTCCCTTGATCACCATGCTAGCTCAAGACCGATTTGGGTATATTTTCACATATTAGTCAACAATAAGTGAACAAATTAACCTCTCGATGGGCGGGTACTTTTTCAGTCGTATAAAAATGCTGGGATGGGTCGTGTCCCCTCTGGTTCAACGATGATGGTATTCGGAAAAATATATCTTTTCAAGGTTAATTTGTAATTAATAAAGCTATAAAACGACCAATTTATTGACATTGGACACAGTATAATGATCGATTAAAGTCTAGAACTGTTAGAACTGTCGAGTATAAATTGCCACATGAACGGGTAAGTCCCTTTGTCTGCGACATCACTTTTGTGGAAGCAGACGTTAAAGCACCAGGTAGTAGTAGTAGTATGTCCCAACTGAAGTATTCTAGACTAGAAGTATTATTTATGATCTCTTCATTCAAGAGCTGTGATTTTCGGTTTTTATTATATGCAGATTTTAAAATACCATAGGAAATATTTTCTTGAATTTAAGAAAATTGATATTAAAAAAAAAAGTCTCACCCACTAGAGTCTGTAAGTTGGTGAACTGTTTTCCCATCAGGTGTAGAACAGGAACAATTATATGGTGAAATACCTGTTACAAAAGAAAGTATACATTTATTACTAGTCAGTGATAGTGGTAAACGACATTGATATTATTTTCCATTTCAAATCACTGCTCAATTACGCTATAACATATGCCGTTAAAGAAAATAAGGGTTTACTGACCGGAGGCTGTTATGTCATCGCGTTTAATTAATAGCATTGCCAGTTGAATTCTGGAGCCAATCTGTACTTGAGAAACACGACTGGATGTTGCTGGGTTCTGAATGAAGAGCTGGACGTCCTCGGTAGTCTGGATGACATTTACTTTGCTAGGTTGATATATACTGCCGAGAACAAGATAAAACAAAATATAGACAACACACGGTGCATGTTAAAATATAAAGTGTCATTTATAAATTAATCAGAATTGCCCTTTGTTCAGCAAACTAAGAAAATTATTCCATTAATTCTACGTATTTAGAAGGTGAGGTCGACCTGTTGAAACAATTGCAGCATTGGTTATTTTTTTGTGGCAAGAACCCACAAATAATAATAATATTAATGAAACCCTTTAAAGAAAAAAACTTACCCACTTAAAGTCTGTTTGTTGTTTCTTGTCAACGTTTCTGCTGTTTTAAAATCACAACTCAGTTCATATAATCTGTCATAGTAACCATAAAAACCAGACACTTCTTCTGTTCTTAATGTCCATTTGAAGACTTCCCTGTCCGTCTATAAAGGCGAAATTTAGTGGTAACATTGATATATTATAACGATCTGTTCTTAGTAAACAGAAAAAAATGAACCAAACTCTGACCAGCGAAGGGAGAGTTATGAAGATATGATTGGCTGCTTAGATGACATGGACATGGTAAAAGAGTAACTAATGCATTCTTCTTATCACTTCACTTTATTTCTGACTTCACACTCGTTATCTGTTTCTGAAAAGCGACTTAGCCATGATAATTCAGTGTGTCTACGTACCTTTCTGCCTTTACGCTTATTAACCAAACATATTTGAAATGGAATTCGCCGTGTATACGTACCTTTGAATCGTAACAACAGTGTATACGTACCTTTGTATGGTAACAACTGGGAGATGTTTTATTATCATCTTCGATTAATATCTTGAGGTTTAAAACATCGTCAGCATCCTCGTTAAACATTCTTTGATCACATGTTGTAGATGATGATGTATCCTGTGATTCATTGATGATATTGATTTTGTCATATTTTACGTTTTTTCTATTAACCCTTAACAGAGCATATTTACCTTCGGTTGGAGAATTAACACAGTACGTTGCCACTGAAATATGCAATTTGTACTGTGAAATTTTGAAGAACAGAAGACATCTCGTTTAATGCAGAGGTTGTGAGATTGCCTATATGTGTGCGGGTGAGAACGGGTGGCGGTTTGGTTGCATGGTCTGTTTGGAGGGTGGGGGTGCCCGTGAGAAAGGGTAAGGGTCTGATTGCAAACACTGAATTTAACTGAATTCACTTATTATTTGGAAAACTAAGATAAGGCATTGAGAAATTTTAAGAGATTCACTTGTGAAAGTTGAATATCATTCTTAAAATGATTCAGCTCCATTCAGTACTTAGAAAATTAAGATAAATTGAACATTTTGCAACATTTAGCATCATCTTACAGACGATATAATCCATCCAGCACTACCTAAATTTGTCGTTAAAATCTTTTGATAGATCTCTTTTTACCGTTAATATTTTGGTTTAGTGTTCTAAATAAAATGTTAAATAATGCAGTAATAATGATGGTGAAATGCTATACTTATGATTAATAATGTTAGCCTAATATACGAATTTTAGCTTAACTATGGCCTTGACTAATTATTGGTTACAGTCATAGATAAGCGTAAAACCAGGACCGTGGTTATATGAACCAGTAGATGACACGCATTTATCAAAATATCTATGAACCATAGTATTTGTTCGGGAACACGGGTGGTTTGTTTGTGAAACTGTGAAGATAACACGATATGGTGAGTGTTTTTGACAATTGGACCTTTCCACATCTGACCGCTGACGCATATTGCTACAATAATCATTTTCAGTACTTTTTTGTGTGAATTAATAAGTTAAAATTATACATTTTCCGAAAAATGCTAATAACGATCAGTGGCTTATAAGTCTTTAATTTCCTGGAATATTTGTTTTAAATGCGGCATCATAAGTCAAATAACAGTAATAATAGACCTTAACATAACTAAATAAAAGTAGTTAAGTTTGATTTATACAAATTTTCTACCTTCTGCTGCTGCTTTCACTGAAACAAAAAAAAAATAAAATGATAAATGTATGGAAAAAACACACAAAATTGTTTAAATCAATGTTTAAAAATTATATTTAACTTTATATATATTATACCGTAACTGGGAAATGCACCTTGTTCAGTGTCGGCCTAGAAAAAATAATCTTCCAATTTATAATAGTGGTTGATCTTTTAGTTACAGACTGAGATAATAGGAGTTGATCTTTCAGTTACAGACTAGGACCTAACTCCTATTGACATTGGGGGGTTGGATGGCCGAATGGTTAGCACGCGCGCGCTGTATCATACGGTCTGTCATTGAGTCAACTGGCGAGGTTTTGATTCCCCGGTTGTACGTGACAAAGAGTAGGGTCGCCTGTCCAACCTCGTAGGTTTTCTCCGGGTCCTCCGGTTTCCTCCCACTGCTAAAGACCCCTATGCGCAAGCGAATTATTGAAATAAAAATTAAACCATAGGTTAGTACCGAAATGACCTAGTTTGTGTCGAGTAGACGTTAAACCCCATTTCTCTCTCTCTCTCTCTCTCTCTCTCTCTCTCTCTCCTATTGACATTTAATTCATAATTGCACTTTGTAACAGAGTACCTAAAGTTCAGGACACTTTTATATAATTTTATAATTGAATTAACTACATTTTATATTTCATTTCTATTTATAAAAGGCCTTCGGGATTCTTAGTAAGTAAATAATTCAGTTCTATATAAAATCGGTTTATTTAAGACCTTCGTGATTCTTAGAATGTATATAAATCTAATTTACCTTGGTCGCATCTAATTCCCATCCATCCATGTTCACATCCATATTCACATACTCCTGTATCTTGATCGCATTGTGATTGGTAACAATGACATACTTTATCACAGTTTGAACCATAATATCCCCTTGCACAATCTGTTGAACAGTATAATAAGGTATTTATCTTTAATACCTCAAAATAATTCAATTCTACCCACGTTTATAGATGGTGAGCAAAACGTTCGTTATATGACAAGCTATAGACGGGGGAGAGGTGCTGGGTAGCTCCGTGTCGTCGAATCAACTGGTTTCCTTTCCTCTGTGAATGAATGCGTAACACATTTGGTTTTTGTTCCTTTCTCTCTTAGATACAGAATCTTATAATAAAAGTACTGCGAAACCATTTCATCTAATCTATGATGCTATAACAATACTACCAACAAATCATAATTAATTAATTCAATAAACTAATACAACCATGACATACATACCTTGACACGAATCTCCTGTCCATTGGTTATTGCAGTTACAGGTACCAACAGATTGATTGCATGATAAAAAATGACCAGCTACACATTGACATGTTCGTTGACAGTTATCTCCCCAATGTGTATTATCACATTCTACAATATACAATTAGTATAAAATAATCTAATCATTTACTTGAAACTTTTTTACTGGTCTACGAGATAGATGTATGCCATTCTATCGGATAACAAGCCAATCATAAAGCATATTGAATATAATTTGTTGGGTATACATATTGCATATATACTATTCAAAAAAAGTAGGGGATATTTGATTTTTAAGTGTTATTAAAGTCACCTAATGAAACTGACGAAGAAACAAATGACAAAATGAAATGAAGTTCACATTCATCGATTTATTCCAAATGATCGTTAGACTAAGTAAGGCACAGACTGACCATTATAAGGTAAAATGATACCCGGGGTCAAACAGCAAAGTTACCACAGCATCACAACCAAGTCAGTAACGGGTAAATCCTCCTCTGTTTGCCAAACAAGCATTGATCCGACGTGGCATACTCCTAATGAGACGTCTAAGGTCATTTTGGTCCAGATTGTCCCATTCCTGTTGCAACGCAGCAGCAAGTTCTTGGACATTGGCAGGACGTTGTTGACGTTGACGTAACCTCTGTCCAAGCATGTCCCAGACATGCTCGATGGGGGAGAGGTCGGGACTCAGTGCTGGCCAAGGTAATGTGGTGATGTTCTGTTGTTGGAGGTAACCTGTAACGATCCTGGCCCTGTGACATCTTGCGTTGTCATCCTGGAAGATGAAACGGCGGCCATGACGTCGTGCGAACGGCACAACATGGACTGCCAAGATGTTGTCCCGGTAGTACTGGCCTGTAACACGCCCTGCAACAACATGTAAAGCCGTTCTTCCAGAAACAGTGATGCCTCCCCACACCATAACAGAACCACCCCCAAATCGATCATGTCTGATGACGTTAACGTCTTGGAAGCGCTCGTTTCGACGACGCCACACCCTCCTACGTCTGTCCAAAAAATCAACAGTGAACCTTGACTCATCTGAAAACATCACATTGCTCCAGCGTCGATTATCCCAGTGTTGACGATCCCTACACCAACGACGTCTTGCCTGAATGTGATGATCTCTCAAACAAGGGATCACGCGAGGACGTCGGGCGCGAAGGTGACCCCTATGCAGTCGATTCCGAATCGTCTGGCCACTCACTCTCACACCAGTGTCTGTTTGAAGACGAGCGCTGATCTGATTTGCTGTGATGACACGATTTCTCAAGGCCAAGGTACGGATAAATCGATCCTCGGCTTGAGTTGTCGCCCTTGGTCGACCTGAGCGTGGTCTGTCCTGTACAGATTGTGTATCACGGTATCTGGACCATAGCCTGCTTATGACAGACTGAGAAACATTCATCGTCCGCGCCACAACCGCCTGTGTTGTGCCGATCTGTAGCATGCCAAGGGCACGTAACCTTTCATTTTGGGTAAGCCGACGCATATCAAAATTTATTTTCTGGTCACTAAAACAATTAAACTGATGTTTCCACCCTGGAATTCAATGCCACAATGACTGTAACATTCAAAGTCAGAGTCGTGCAAATCTTGGGTTGGACCCCCATGATGATCCCACGCATCACCTGCATTCCATGCGGTAGCTATTGGTGCGTTTGGGCGTCACATGTAACTGGAAATGTTTCTTCTGTTAGGTTCTATAGTGACTTTTTTCGTAGTCATTTGCATATTTTAGTATTATGCCCCCAAAATCAAATATCCCCTACTTTTTTTGAATAGTATATGTAAGGGAGTGTGGAGCTATTCTGTGGAACCTTAAATCGATGAAACTGGGTCTAAAAGAACATGTTTAAAATATCTAAATATGTGAACAGTCCAAATTGAACAAGAGTTGATTAATATTATTTTGTCGTTTGTAAATGAGCCATTACTAATCACTTCCACACTGTCTACATCACCCGTGTAATAATTATAAAATGTTCATTGTGTCTTAAATATTGCATATTAAGATTCTAGTTTCATGGAAATATTACCGTCTTCATTAGCCCAGTTCGGAGCAGAACAGTAGGACGTTAAACCCCATTTCATGGCAATATAATAATATCAATATTAACTGAAATGGACCAATATTGAATTCTATTTCGTGTATTTAATTTTTAATGTTATGGAAATATTAAGTTAGAAATTTAGCATCCTTAAGTAGCTTAATATTTGATGCGTAGCTAAATTCTTCCTGTAAATGTTTTATTATTAATTGACGAATTATTCAAATATTAAACTATCCCCGCTGAAAATGGCGACGTACAGTAAATATACGAAAATTGTCCTACTTATTTCAAGTGGGTACAAGTAATTCCTTTCGTTTCATATCCCAATACGAATTTCCTCAGATTCAGAGGACAAAAAGCATAAACCAGGCCCATAGCTAAAGTTAAATACCTCCAGATCCGGACTCTGGCACAAACCCCTTGTGTCATGAAAAGCATGTTAGGAAAATCAGCCACTGCATTTGAGACATCTTTAAAACCAGTGTGTTCACTGTCTGTATTTGAGAATGTGACCTCGACAACTCGCTACAGCAACAGCAAACAGAGAGAGAGAGAGAGGGAGAGAGAGAGAGAGGTCCAATGGCCAATTCAGAGGAGAGTTCATCGGGTGATCAATACTGGCAGGGGCCACCGGATATTGACGTTTGACGCTGACGACTCTATACACAATTTGAACATTGAATGAAATGACCTGAACTGTAGGATTTCAGAACGTAAAAAGTTAACATATCGTATCAAACGCCACAGGCCTGTTTGATTTAATTATAGTTCATTTGTCCAGAACTATACCAAATCAAGTCATATCGGAACTGAAATTATCAAAATGGTTGATATGTTACGCGGTAACGTTTCGTCCATCCTAAGCTTTATGAAAATATACATTACAGCACACAAAAGAAACACTATCGAGGTCCAGTTGATTTTGTTTATATAGACAAATATTTGATTTGAGCGTGTAATTAAAATGTATTGTTTCGTACCATCAAATATTATATTGAATACTACACTTAAATATAAAATATAAAACTAGCCGTATTTGGTGGATATAATTACAACTAGAACTGCGATGCAGTAATGACGGGTTTCACCGGTGCCACGTTACCCTTGAACTTATGATGCCACGTTACCCTTGAACTTATGTAACATCCGGTACCAATAAAACCGTTGAACAGATTTCCATATAGGCATAGCACACGTGTTATAAAACAGAAGCAGAATCAACTAAATCGCGCACTATCAGTTACATTTATCCATTTGTTACCATGTGTTACATATGTCAAAAAAGTAATCCTAACAAAATTTGTTGCTAACGTACCGCTAAGTTAGCTAACTTTCTAATGAGAAATTAAAATGCGAAAAAAAAATCTTAAAAAGTGATCCTGACAAAATTGGTTATTTCTCGACAGGGGAAGATGCTAGAAGCAATTTTTGGACATATAAATGATCGGATTGATCCAATCTATATGTTCATTAGAATCAAATATCATAATGTTAAACGAATACTAAATATGACTCACTTCAAAAAAGAATGTTTGTTTTGAAGGCTAAAAATACAGTTTTTTGCCAAAATGAAATAAAATTCCGGTGATTATGAAAATGTTAAATTAGTTCTATGAAATCATAAATGGC